GTTATTATCAACAATTCTTATCTTTTATTACTAAAATATGTGACTGGATCTACAGCTATCCATCTGTATATAGGTGCTTGAGACATACATATTAATCCCTTATCTTCTGGGATTTTACAGGGACTCTGTACAGGCTTAGGGCCAGCTGCCATCTCCAGAGGTCCACCTGACGCTGGCAGTGGGATGCTATAGTTCTGGCTGTCTTGTGATGCAAGGGCACTGGGACAACTTGCACAGAGCACCAAGTGCCCTCCTGAAGAGGGAGGCCTGTTGTGTGGGGACAGCTGTAGGTGCAGACATGCATAGGATGCCCTCAAATGACTTCCTGTTGCATGCCACCAACTCTTCCTCCCAGAAAGTGTTCTCTTTGGAAGGGATTCTTTCCCTCATATCCCACATGTCATCTCCTTCAAAGTTGAGAAAAATTTCTTCCTCCCAATCCATGGCTTCGTCCAAGCCAGACAGCAGATCCAGGTCATAAGAAGGCCTGTTATGGATCCACCTTGGCAGATCCAATTTGGTGCTTGTGGGTGTGTGTAGTTGACTGTCCCAGGGCTCTTCCTTTGCCTCATGCGGACGGGACATGGAAAGACTTTCTTCCTCGGCACTCCAGTTTTTGTCTGTGCTGTCCTCTTCTTGGGACAGCTTGTGATCTCTGTTATCTTCCCAGCATTTCTCCCTCTTAGCCAAGGCGTCTGCCTTGGCTGCTGTTGCTGACAGGAGTGCCCCTGCTGCTGGTCCTACTTGCTGCCTGCTGAGGGCATGGGCTTCCATCTGGCTTGATGTGGAGGAGCTGGGATGTGACCAGCAGGGCCTGTGAATTGCAGATTCCTGGCTCTCTCTGTCTGCTGCTTTGTATAGTGCTGTCATTCTCATACCCATCATTTCAGCCATCCAGGGAGGCTCATAAAACAGGGTCCACATTGGGTCCATTTCTCTGGTTCTTAGAGGTGGACTGCTGAGGTGGGATACTCCATTGTTAAAATCCCAGTACTCTGACCATGCCTGATGTGTGAGGGGCAGGGACTCTTTTCTAGCACTCCAACTTTGGTTTTCATTGTGTTCCGCTTGAAAGAAGTGTTGGATGTCATAGAGTTTCAAGCATTCCCTCTCCTCTACCAAGACCTTCTTGGTCTCTGGTACTTCCAGGACTCACCCTGTTGCTGCCCCTGCCCATTGCCTGCAGAGGGTGTGGGCTTCCAGAGGGTTCGGCGAGGAGCTGGGGCGTGGGCAGCAGGGGCAGTGTGCAGCAGCTCCCTGGCTCTCTGCCTCTGCTGCTGTCATCTGCTTGATGAAGTCAGAAGCTGCTGCCTTGGACATCTCTTGAGCTTCAGTGGAGGGACGCACACAGCGCTCCTCTGTCTGCAGTGCTGCCTATAGCTGCATGGGGCCCACCAGTGGGTAGGAGGAAAAAGATGAAGAGGAGGAAGAGGAGGAGGAGGAAGAGGAGTTGGTTGTCCCATCCCCCCAGTCCTTCACCCTGTACCTCTTTGGCAGTTTCTGCCACTGAGGCATTCAGGGGAGATGCTACATCCTGAGGGAAGTGTTCTCCTGAGATTGAGCACTCCAGGCCTTAGTGCTCTTTAAGTAACCTCAGGGTCAGGGCGTGGCCCCACGTAACACTGGTCTCCAGGCACCATGAGACTCCTGCATCGCAAAGGGCCCTGGAATGTGCTGCTGTGATGATGGGCCACACCCCAGCATCCTTATAACAGCAGGGTGGGATGCACAGAGCTGCCTGGGACTGGATGGACCCAGCTGGAAGTAGCGATGCCTGGCATAAGGCAGACCCTGCTTTCTCCACACAGAGGCTCCAGCTGACCTAAACCATCCCCTCCCACAGAGCCCCAGCGCTTGTGGCCCTGCTGAGCTCAGCCCTGCCTGCCTTCAGCCACTTGGGGTGCCACCACCCAGAGCAGCCAGTGGCTGTGGAGTGATGTCCAGATCTCAGAAGGATAAACTACTTGTTGATAGAACTGCCCTGTTAAGGTTCCACACAGCAAGTCTTTCTGTGCGGAACTGTAAATTAATCAAAGAATGCTTGTGTGGATCAGCCTTTTACACAAAACACACAACGGGGAGGGCCACGGGGACAGTGTCAGTGTTGTGCTGGGGACCTGCCACAGGGAGTGCCTGGAACTAGCTTCAAATTTTTTTAGAACAGTGGGAGATTTGGATCCAAAATTTTATTTTGGCCCATTACAGATAAAAGCTGGAGCTGGAAAAGAAACCAAATTTAGAGCTTTGATCACAGTTTTAGTTCAGGCTGAGGCCTAGCAGGTGAATTCTGTCCTAATTAGAGATACTATAATCAGCAATGGTTGTATGTTTGTTATTTATTTCCTTTTAAAACTTTTTTCTCTTCCAAAAATCAAACAAGTTTAAGGTATTGTTTTGCTGTTAAAGGCAAAAGACTGGCTATCCTCCAAGTGTCAATCTTCATGCAGCAATTTATCAGCAGGCTGCCAGCTTTAGCATGGCAGCAGAAGATTACAAAAGAACACAAGAGAATCAAAGAGTAAAGCAAACATAAAGCTTGTGGAAGTTTCAGTTCCCATTCCTACCTAGTTTGTAATGCAGCAAAATATCACATCAATTTACGTTTTAGCAACACAAACATAAATGCATTTTAAAATGGAAAATATTGAAAAGGAACATAGTAACAAAGTATTTGCATTCTTGTATTTGCAAATTGTAAATATGATCATATGATATAAAGATATATTCACAAGAAAGGAAAGCAAGTTGGCAGTTGGTAGAAGAATGGAATCTACTATTCCTATAAAATAGTGTCTAAATGTATTTCTGTTGCTGCACAGGAATATCCTGGTGCTCTAAACAAGTCTTAACACAGACATAAAGATTTTAAAAAAGTCTTTATGGATTAATAATATTTTTTTTGTATTTTGGCTTAATTTTTCTAAAATGGTGAATGAGTTTGATCATGATCTGGTAGAGAACCTTGTGTGCTGCACTGTTTTGAATGTATCAAGGAGAATTTTTTTCTTCTCCCTTCAGTGTGGGAGAAGAGCATGGCTGTTGTCTTCAGAGGACAAAGGGCTGTATTTGCCACCAAAGAGCTGGAGATGGTGTGTTGTGACAATAAAGTGAAAAAATCCATTAGGTCAATAGAAAAGCAGAGACTGACCTGCAGTGTGGAGAAATAGAGTGGAAAATAGTGTCTGTTAATATAGGTGTCTTTTCCCCTCCAATATGGTTATTCATCTCTCTCTCTGAATCATGGTTCTTCCCTACAGAGACATCTGTAACACTCCAGCTAAATACTATCTCTTCTGTGCTGAATTTTCCATTCTTTAAAGATAGGAAGGAGAACACTAATTGCATTTGCTGTTGTTCTCTGTTATTTTATTTTGCTGCAGAAAATTGTGCAGTACTGAAGATGAGAAATAGTAACTAATTCCACAAATTTGGAGAGATTTCTCACCACCAGCCCTGAGGCATTTGAGGCATTTTATTTTTTTGTCATAAACTGACAAATACAGAAGATGGATCACAATGCAATACACACATACACCTAATCAGAAGGTGAAGTAAGAAATGAAATTATCTGTAGCAAATATGGAAGGGAAAGTAGCAAGCCAGAACAAAAAAACCATAGGTTTTATGTCTGCATGTGTGTAAATTTGAAAATAACTGAAATGAGAGGCAATAACAACCAAAAAATGGCTTCTGATCAACAGTCCATCATATCTATAATTACAGTTAGATGTTTTAATTTAACTAAGAGTTGAGTAACACAATTGCTAATCCAGAAGTTCAGCCTTAATAAAAAAAAAAAATTAAATGCAACATTCTTGCAAATTTCTTGGGAGAGCTATGAAATCTAGAAGAAAAAAAAAAGAAGAGGACAATATCCTTTTTATAAAAACCAGTAATTCCTACTGTGGCGTATTCTTCACGCACAGGAAAAGAAATCTGAAATTAATAAAAGAATCAAAGGCCAAAACTCTCACATCTCTTAATACAGAGCAAAGTTAGTGGCAGAACCTCTTCCAGATTATTTATTCCACATGTTGCCATGTAACAGTGTTATAAGACCTAGGACAGACTGGTAAATTACACAATGCTTAAGAAAGAGGGAGTTAAATTATTTGACCTTCAACTTTTGGAATTGATTTTTGTCTGTTTCAAGTTAAAGGAATTTGGTGACATAAATTAAACAAATACCTGTACATTTGAAGTTAATACCAATTAATTAAACCAACTTTGTACTAAAATAAAGCTTTATAAATTTAGGTTTCATTAATATATTGAAGACTTTTGTTAAATAGAATAATCTGAAAATAACTCAGAAATTATAGGAAATTTCAAAATTATTTTGAATTTTGAAAGCAAAGGATTCTGCATGACTAAATAAAAAGTTACTTGCAAATGCAGACTATTTAAAATTCAATTTTGTTTTTTCAATTTTAAAATAAATTTCTAAGAAAATCCTCTAATTTTTTTTAACATTGCTACAACATCTTAGGAAGTTAAGCCAAGTGATATGTGATTATAGTATCTGAAATGGTTTCTGTTCCCTCTTGGAAAACAAGTTTTGAAACACTGGCAGGCATTCAGAACAAAATCACTCCTATTTTTTTTTTCTTAGCAAACCCTATTTAGATATTCTCTATGCACTCTCCTGTTCTGTGCTGCATTTTACTACATCTTGATGTGTGAATTAAAGCACTGAAATGTGTTTTAAAGAAATCCTCCATCTGGAAAAATGAAATAATGTGTGAGACACCAAACAGATTGAGTTCTTCAAATAGGTTTCTGTTTTAGAGCAAATAATTTCATTAGGAGTTAAAAAAATGAATATGTGATGAAGACAGCTGCAGTGCTCCTCAAAAGCAGACAGCTTCTGTAAGGCTTTGGCAAACTACTATTTACATCAAGATAATTAAGGCAAAGTGCATTTTGCTCCCTATTTGGAAACAGGATAACAAAATTCTAAGTTCATGCTTTCTATTTACTTGTTCTTGTTTCATTTACAGGAACTTCCAGATTCTCTGAAAGAACAGGCCTATCTGAAAGAATGGCATGTGTACAATACATTGATACAGACCATTCCAGCCTACCTTGCACTATTTCAAGATCTGAGAGTACTGGAATTGTCAAAAAATCAAATCAACCACCTTCCAGTGGAGATTGGTGAGTTGGCCCAAGATATTCAGATATTTACACTCTTACCATTTAACTCTATTGCAAGGAAATGAGCATCCATGGATATTCTTGTTAATTTACTTGTTAATGATAATTGTCTTCCTTGTTTACACTAAACAGTCTCCACTACATTTTTATATCTCTCTGGCTTTAATTATACCTGCAAAATTGCATTGAGAGCCATGAATATAGTATGAGAAAAAGTTAGCACATTTTTGTTATCTGATTATAAGGCAGTTATTGCCTGTATTCATGCAGATGGAGAGTTGTTTCTGGAAACAGGTGGTGTTTTATATTTCTTACAGATTAAGAAAAATAGAAATATTACAGAGTTTTATGCCTCAAACAAGATAAATTGAAACATAAGATTGTGGGAAAAAGGAATGAAAAATAGAATCGTGCAAAAATATACATTTTAATTTTTTTAAGAGTCCAGTAATTAATTTATTAAAGAGATATATAATAGAGTAATTGATTCATAGCAAATTTTGAATTGGAAGGGACCTTAAAGATCTTCTAGTTCCAAACCCACTGCTGTGGGCAGGGGCACCTTTCATTAGACCAGGTTGCTCAGAGCCCCTGCCAACCCAGCCTTGAATGTTTCCAGGGATGGTGCTTCCACCACTTTTCTGGGCAACATGTGCCAGTGATTCAACACCCTTACAGTGAAGAATTTCTTTGTGATATCTAAACTAAATTACTCAACCTGGTGTTATAAGTTTTAGGGAAACAAATTCTCAATGCCTAAATACTTTGGCCCTTGCCATTTTAAGCTGCATAACAATGATTTTAATGCTTGCCTCTCCTCTGTTTTTAGGTCTTACAATAGAAATCTTGTTTGACACATTGTATTGGTATTGAGAGGGATTTGCTGCTCTTACAAGGAAAAAATATAGCTATAAAAGGTGGCATGTTTGAAAGCTGAAGAAAATGGGCTCATTGCGGGCTCACCGGTGTCAAGCTTATGCATGTAGGTGTACTAATCCCTCAGCCTTTGATTTTAAATATAGTAGTCCTAAGCTTTTCCCATGAGTGCCATTCCTTATGTACAGTGAGATAGCAGCTTAAAGACTAAAACTTTGACTTCCCCTGATATCAAAAGTTAACTAAGAAAAACAGGAAGAGGAGGAGCATTTGAAACACAGAAATCTGAGCTAGAACTTTCTACTTTTAGTGTTCTATTAGTCAAGTAATGCTCATGCTTTTGATTTATTTACTAGCACTATATTTTAGAAAGAAAATTTTACATAGACATCAAGATCTATTTTATAATTTCAGCCTGGCATCTAAACACACTAACAGATCATAAACAAGACACAAGCAGGAGATAATGGACATAAAATGAACACTGTTTTATCAGCACTTTGACTGCAGAACTCAGACAGATCAGTGAGTTTAATGGACAAACACTTTGGAAGAAAGTGGAAATAGCATGGAAGAAAGGGGAAAGGCTGCTAGTTTCCTGCCAGACACTACCCTAAACCATTAAATAGAGGGTTTAAATGGGTTGTTGCTTAACAATCAAGGCAGGTAGAAGCAGGAAAATTTTTATTTATTCTTATAATGTTATGTATTGTTAATGAAAATGATCCCTAAGGAAAAAACCCACCACTAGTGCTATTAAAATCTGTTTCCACAATAAAAGCATGAACACAGATCTCAGAATCACAGAATTGTTAAAATTGGAAAAGGCCTCTAAGGTCATTGAGGCCAACCATAAACCTATCCCCACTGTGTTCATCTCTATGTCCTTAAGTGGCACACACACACATGCACATTTTTTTTTAGGATTTTCAAGGATGGTAATTTTACCTCTTATTTGGGTGTCCTGTTCCAATGTCTGGCCAACGTTTCAGTGAAGAATATTTTCTCTAATATCCTAGAACTCTCCTTGTGCAATTTGAGGTAATTTCCTCTCATCCTTTCACTTTTCCCAGTTTTCCCATGGGAGAAGAGATTAACCCTCACCTTACTACACCCTGCTTCTCAGGCAGTTGTAGAGAGCAATAAATTCCCCTTGCTTTTCTCCAGGATCAGCAATACCAGCTTCCTCAGCTGCTCCACATAAAATTTGTGCTCTCCAGCTCTGTTGCCCTTCTCTGGACAATCTGCATCACCTCAGTGTCTGGGGCTGTTGTGGGTTAGAAATGGTATTCCTCAATTTAATGGTCCCACTGAAGCATTCATTCCTGTCTCCCTCTCCCTTCCCGTTTCAGCCATGTGGAGAGGAAAATTTGAGGTACAAAATGTAAAGATCATGGGTTGTGATAAGAACAATTTACTAGAAACAGCTAGAATGTCATTTACAGAGCAAAGCAGTGACAGCCAACTGCACTTACTTGACCAGAAGGGACCCCTTTTCCTACCCCTGAAAAACTCTGTGAGGTGGTATAGAATAACCTCTGGGTGTTAGGAATGTCCCCTCCTATCTGCTGCAAAATTTTAGCCCAGAACTAACACAGGATTTGAGGTGTTGTCTCACCAGTGTTGAGTACAATAGGAAAATAACTTCCTTGGTCCTGCTGGCCACACTATTTTTGATAGAGGTCAGGATGTCTTTGGCCTTCTTGGCCACCTGGGCACACTGCTGGACCATGTTCGACTGGCTTTCAACCAGCATCCCCAGGTCCTTTTCTGCCAGGCTGCTTTCCTGCTACTTTTCCCTAAACCTGTAGTGCTGTCTGAAGCTATTGTGACCCAAGGACAGGACCTGGCTCATATAATTGTCCTTGGTCCATTGTCCACCTGGTTCAAATGACTCTGAATCTCTTTCCTACCCTCTAGTAGATCAATCTTCCCACCCAGCTTAGTGTTGTTTCGAAAGTGACTTAGGGGACACTTGATCTCCACATCCAGATCAAAAATAGTGACTTTGGGTTGGACTCAATGATCTTTGGATTGGACTTGATGATCTGGGTTGGACTTAATGATCCTGAAGGTCTCTTCCAGCCCAGTGAGTCTGTGATTCTGTAATACAGACTCTAAAGAAGGCTGACTCCAACACTGAGCCCTGGGGAACACCACTGATGTTCAGGGGACAAGTAGATTGTTCTAGTAAAACGTAATGTAGAGCATTTATCAGATCCTTTTTGGGAAACAAGGAAAAAGGTCTCTCTAGCAGCAATCAGTGTTCTTTCAACTGCATTAATATGATGGGATTTCTGCTCATCAGTATCTTTTATGTAAATCCCACTTATTCACTTGCCCTCCAATATGTTTATCTCGCTATCTTATGCCTATGATTTATTTATTTCAATACTTTTGTTGCTGTTTTTTTTTTTTTTATGAAAATGTTTGCCTGGAAGGGCCAGAGAATGTTAGAAAATGCTTTGTTGTAGGGCTTCCCTCAGACTTGGTGTTAAAGGACTCACCATACTCCTTTTACTCGGGAACTTTTGTTCAGAAATTTTGTTTTTTAAGATTCATTAAATGTAATAACTCCTCAGTGGAAACATAGAGTTTGCTAAGCTATAGATACTACTTATACATACATACATATATATTATATATATATATATATATATGTATGTAATTATATATAGTTCTATATCCCAGTAGCAATTCTAGCTTATCCAGAAAATAATGCATAATCACACATGTAGTCTAAGATGAAATAATACAAAAATCCACTCCAAGACTCTGTACCTGAACTGTTCAGCACTTTTTTGTCAAAACTTCCTGATGTTTTTCAGTGTTATTGAATGTTGTGTGTTGATAGCTCTTCTGTTAGTAAGGCACTGGAACGGCTCTTTTTGTTATGACATAAATTACAGAGAAGCTTTGTCTTAATTTTTGTAATGCTCTCTTTGTTTGCATGTAAAGGGATACGCACGCAAACGTCAAATAGCTGTGCTTTTATTTAATGTACAATATGTACATACAGAGACAAATATTAATGAGTATTGGAAATGTTAATTATTTTCATAAGACAATATTATGGAAGGTCTTGGATATTTTGAAGTTTTTGAATACTGCTTCTGAATGAAAACTTTGATATTTTAAGTATACTTATATATAAGTCAATTTAGCTACTAAATTTTCACAAGGAAAATTATTGGTGTGGGTTTGATTTGGGAGCTCTAAGCAAAGAGTGAGGACTTAGTGTTAAATCAGAAGGCAAGGTGTCCGGACAGGATAAGTGCTAAGGTATACATCATTTTGTTTTCTGCTTACAAAACAGCAATAACTAGGTAAATACACAGCTCAAATGTACTTGAGAGCAATGACAGATAGTTGATGTTGGCAGTGACATACATCTTGTTGAGTCTTTAATCTTCAGACAGAATTGAAGTCAACTTTAGATCAACAAATCATCCAGCACAGGATAACCTGGTGAGGCATATTATGTAAACTTCGGATTCTCCAAGAGGTAAATGTATGAGAGAGCATCAGGTGATAAGAGTATTTTCAATGAAAAGAATTATTGCTGCAGTAGAATTTTCTGGACTTCTGGAACATTGATTTTCATATTCCTGTTTTACTAGATTTAGAAGACAATGCTCCACCCTGAATCAGAGAGAAGAAAGAGTTGAATCTATTATCAGATATTTCATATTGCATTTTCATAGTCACATGTGTACATGAACAAGAACTTATTTGTAAAAGAAGACAGCTGAGAATACTTTTGATTTGATAGTTTTTGTGTAATAATAAATATTTTAATCAGAATTGTAAAAAAAAAAAGAAAAGGAAAGAAAACTGTAGAATGGAGTTGTCTGTCTTAAAATGGTTTGCTAAGGAATAACAGAGAAAAAATAATGAATGGCCTGTAGCCAGGGGATTTTCTTTGTCTTCTGAGTGAGATTACAGCTTTGGCTTAGACTCTGTGGCTGCAGTGCAATTGCTATATGTAAAGCAGTGCTACTACATCAGTAATTGCTATAAACAAAACTATCCAACATTATATTCTCATATTCACATAGGAAGTAGTGAACTGAAGTTTCATATGTTTCCAAAGCCTTTGAGCTGGCTTTGGAACTGTAAGGTTA